CTTCTTGTTAAAAACCACAATCATTTATGGTTAAAAATTATATTTTTGAATTCTTGTTAAAAACAGCAAGTTCCATTGCATCGATACTATGCATATTGTTCATTTTCTGATGATATCTTCTGTTCTTTAATTGAAATGCGCAGTGCTAACAGCGGAGCTATCTCAGCCGAGAGGCTGCTTGTTTTAAAATTTGAGCGTAGTATAGCTTTGCAATAATGGTGGAGTACTTTTTATTCAGGTGGTTATATTTTGTCTACTTCTTGAACAGGTTGCCAAATTCGTCATTATCCTTCTTTGAATACTGTTTGTAATACAGTTTGTATAGGTAGGTGATCAACCATAGCAAGTAGACAATTTTTCTTCTGTTTCCTCTCACCAAAAGCCGCTTGGAATATGCATTTATCTGTCAAGTCGGACAGACAGTTTGTATTGAATGGGTTCTATTGAGATTTCATTTGAACAAAATTTGTGCTGCAAAACATGAATTCTTGATACCATTGTGTTCAGTAAACCTTTGAACAAACAGGGCTGATCAAGATGTCTGGGCATCAGCATTTTAATTGCTACAACATGTATCAGTGTGATCCAGGTTGACTGAAGGTCATCCAATTCTGTCTCAAGGTCATTCAATTGATGATTAAAGTGAAGAGATCCAAAATTTGAAAAAGACAATATGATGCACAAGTTTATACCACCTTCCTATCTTTTGTCGATGATACATAATTGATGTACCACTTTACATATTTAATGGACCTTTTGTTTAGACTTGCTGTGCCCCTGCTGGGGGGTATCATGGGACTTGAGTACTTATTTTAATGCATTTCACTGTCAACTACCGATATGCTTAAATAGTAATATTTTTTTTATCTCTTCATAATATTTTGATTAAATGTCTGTATCGTACAACCTTGAACATTTTTAATGTATGTGGGTTGAACTTTAAGGTACCGTAAAACCATTTATTTCCACTGCTATTAAATTTCACAATTATGCTGTTTGAGCAACCAGGCATGGAAACTATGAGTTCTTTTGTTATTCAAGTGCACATAGTTTTTATTTAAAGAATTTCACAGTGAACATTGGTGGGGAAGGGGGCTACATCTAGTTTAGATGACGATTTATCCAAATTTACAAAGAATATACAAATTTCCAGTCTGTTTAACTTTGATTTCTAAGTA